TTACCACCCCCCGGATGAGGGAAATGATTTGAATAACCTGCTGGGTGTGGATCAGTCCGGAAAGGACCCCTGGGGCATCGTGAGTATCCTATTTGTTGACCCTCCTAAGACTGCCCCACAGCCCACTAGATGGCCCACTATGGCTCAAGTAACCACCCCGTTCCAAGTCACCAACGATACTATAGTGCTTCAGGTCGATTACACTAGACTGAATCCCCTAGACATTTTAGAACTAGCCACAGGGTACAAGAACGGCAACATCTGGCTGGCCTGGATTGCGCAGAACGCCAGAGAACAGCAGATGGAGGGCTGTGTGGCCTGTGCTTCAGCCAGACCCCAGCTCTATATGGAACCAGCCCCATTACATCCCTCAGACGCCTGGGGCTATGCCTGCATGTTAGCCTTGACCAGGGAGGCCACACCGGTGGACTGCACCACCTTGGCATCCCTTTTTCCACCCATAGATAACAGGACTAAAGCAGGAGCATTCACTCCCCGTCCAGGTAAAGCGGAATACCTCTGCTTTATCTTTGCGGGTACCGGTCCCCACGTGGGGGACATTCCCAATGAGTGGTGTCATGACATCATAGACAACGGTTCCAGTGACAACTACATAGAGCATTGGGCCCATTTTGGCGTCTACTGGTTCTGTGGCCGGGATAAGTTACTCGTTAGAATGCCTCTCAGCGGCCACGTGGTATGCGCCATGGTAAGGCTAATGGTGCCGTTAGTCCTGATAGGGGAACGTCCCGATACACTAGAGGTCACTACTAGTGCACCAGGCGGGAAACTGGTGGGGAGACGACGAAGGCGCGTACTGATTAGACGCAGACGCGAGGCACCCAACTCTGACCCCACGGTAGATTCACCCACCTACATCGACACTATAGGGATCCTGAGAGGAGTGCCAGATTAATTCAAATTGGCTGACCAGGTCGCTGCGGGATTTGAAAACATTCCTATTGTGGCAGGCATATTCCACATCACTCCAAACAAAAATATAGACCGCATTAACTATGTACACTATAACATTTTGCGCTTGTCCAACCTTACTAGAGACACAGTGGCAGGCTTGGCTGAGCAATTAGGCCCTACTTCTCTGATGGCGGTCCAAAACCGGCTTGCGCTAGATATGCTACTAGCCGAAAAGGGGGGAGTGTGCGTTATGTTCGGGGAAGTATGCTGTACTTACATTCCCAATAGCACAGCACCAGACGGCTCAGTGACCAGGGCACTCAAGGGTCTCCGGACCCTCTCCAAAACGATGCATGCACACTCCGGGATCAATAACATCTGGGATGCTTGGCTGACCTCGGCGTTCGGACAGTGGAAAGGCTTAATGGGCTCGCTTTTATTATCCATTGCTACTTTTGCTGCAATTTTAGTTACTTGCGGGTGTTGTTGTATTCCCTGCCTGCGCTCACTGTCAGTTTGTCTCATCACTACCGTGATAGAGAAGCGGGATGGGGTATCCGTGATAAAGCGGGATGTTCCGACCCCGGCTCCGCCCACGCCTGAGGATCTTGCTCCCGCTCCTGATATTCCGGCTCCGCCTGTCCCTGCTCCGCCCACAGCGGCTCCTGCTTTGCCTGTCCCTGCTTTGCCCACAGCGGCTCCTGCTCCGCCTGTCACTGCTCCACCCACAGAGGCTCTGGCTCCAGTCCCCACGGTTCCTGTCCCAGCTCCCGCACCACCAGTCCCTGGCTCTGAGGTGATCCTTGATGGCACAACCCCCACTGAGGGGTCACCGCGACCATCGCCCCGGCGTGGTCGATCCCGGCTGGGTCCCCACCTTTCGGTCTCCCGAAACGGGAGAGGACACCTGCGCAGGGGTCGAGTCCCGCCCGCCCTGCCCCCTGGCTCACCCTCAGTCTCCTTGGCTATGGTTCCAGGGGTGCCTGCTGGTCCTCCGGCTCCTGCTCGGCAGTGACCTGCAGGTTCCCCTTTGATGACTCATTGGCTGCGGTCGGCCCCGCCTCCGACACCTCGTTGGTCACCTGCGGGTTCCCCCACTTCGATTTGTCGGTCGCCTGTGGGTCCCCCCACTACAGCTCGTCAGTGGACAGCACCTTCGCCTGCTGTGGCTGTGCCGTGCCTGCTGCAGCTTCCGCTCCCTCCTTACCTTCACCGGGGTCCCCTTCTCCCTCCTCGCCTCCCCTGGTGCCCCCTCCGACTTCCTCCTCACCTACTCCGCCTGTCCCTCTGCCTGCCTCCTCACCTCCTCTGAGGTCCCCTCCTGCTCCGGCCTCATGGTTGCCTGCTGCCCCTGCGGCTGCCACCTTCCGTCCGCTGGTGTTCCCTCTGGCTCCCCATTGTCCCCCATCCTATTCCTTCCGGCCTCCTGTGTCTGCTCCTTGTCCCTCTGTGTCTCCTGTGTTCCCTCATGGTCCTCTCGTTTGTGTTCCCCTGGTGTCTCCTTTTTTTGGTGTGCCTGTCTGCGTTTCCCGTTCTTTGTCAGCTATTGTCCTGGTTTTTGCCGTTTTGCCTGTTCTGTGTGTCCATCCTGTTCCCAGTTCCTCGTTGAGGTCCTTGGTTTTGTTTTCCCCAGGTCCTGTGCGGTTCCCGGTCCCGTCTCATCCGTCACTCCCCTTGGGGCACACCCGGAGTGCACGCCTTTGGGGGGGGGGTTATGTCATGACCTGCTCGTCCAATCCTCCTGTGTGCCACACCCCCTCAGAAACCTCGAGTGAAACACCGATTGTTATCAGCTGTTTCGTGTTATTTCTGAGTAGTCATGTGTATTTAAGTCCACATTCAAGTCTGTTTACCCAAGTCCGGTCATTGAAGTGTTGTAACGTATTCTTCGTATTGCTGTGCTCTGCCTGCAATAAACCCCAGTTTCTGGATCTCTGTCTACCTGACCCTGATTCCTGACTCCCTGCTCGCTCGTCCCACGCACGGACCTAACAGATCATTACAATATATCTTACTTTCACCCAGACATACATGAATAATTAAACTAAAACCATATATCTTTTTCCATCCTCCTATCTGTTTGAAAACTATACAGGTGAAGACAATGGTAAAAGCAAAGGCAATAATAGCTGTAACATAAAATACACTTTAACATGAAAAGACATATTCAAAAGAGATTTAATGCAAAATGATCATGTGATATAGCTTGCAAAGATTCCTCTTTGTCTATTGTTTTGTAACACACACAAAAAAACCAAAATCAGACTGATCTCATTCAAGACATCAAATATAAAAAATTATTTAATCTGTATCGAGATGAAAAGTGCCAACAATACTGATTCTAAAATCACATAAACATAATGTTTGGCCTTCCTTCATAAGTTACCTAAAAGTAAATTGACATCTCTAAACTGTCCATGGTGTGAATTTATACGTGTGTGTGTGTGTGTGTGTGTTTGTGTGTGCACCCTGCAATGGTCTGTCATCCTCCTTCCTGGTACCTCCCAACATTTGGCCCAATGCTGCCTGGGATAAGCTCCCAGAACTCCTGTAATAATCAAATAGAGGAAGGATGGAGGGATGGAATGTTCTGTTGCACTTCTGTGACAGTGGTTACATGGGGGATTTAAAATACCTAATAAAAATGACTGTTGCAACTTTTCCTATCTTTAGTAGTTTCTACATAACAATGACAAACCCAGAAAACATATTAAAGGGTTGGTCAACATCATGAAACAAAAACGTAGAAAACAAACTGAAAATTTAGTGAGAGTAACATACACCATAGTCTTTTCTCATGAACTCAAGCTGCTAGCTGAGTAAGCTACAGCAAATTGATATATCACATTTCAGTTCACACAAGAATGTATTTAACTATGGCAGAATGTAGAGAAGTATACAATACATTTTGAAATGTTGAATATTCATCCCTCTAAATAAAACATATGAAAAAAATTTTCTCTGTCTAATACTCATTCTCCAAGACCTTCACCATCACAAACAGTCCATACATACATGAGTAATATTCATTCTTAATCCATAACTAAGACAAAATTTCAGATTCAATTTTACCTCTCTATTCCTTATGTCATTAACAAATTTAATGATTCCCACTTTCTTACAAACTGTCTTGTGTATTCCTTCCTAAGTCATCAGACACAAATATTTACTGGCCATAAAAACATAAGGGATTCCTCAGATATGTTAATGACTTCTGTTTGCTCAATCGAAGAATGTTCAAGCACCCATTTGAATAGTTCTGCTCAGTAAAATCATATTTTACAGAGTACCTGAAAGGTTCTTTTCTTAAGCATACGTGTCTCTACACGTCTGTGGCTTACTTCTGTCACCACGCCTTGGCAGTTAAATAAATACATACATACATGCATGCATGCTAAATGTCTTTCAAAATATACATTTATACGTAATTTTTCTGAACGCGAATTTAAAACAAATATTTTTGCATTTTTCCAATTATTGCAATTTTTATGGCAAGGTCCCGCAGCAAGTGGGACCTTGATTTTTTTACATAATATAGGCCTTCGAAATCAATTCACAAATATTTCGATGACATAATTCTATTAGCCTAACTGTCGAAGAGAATATTACAGAGACGAAGTTCAAATGAACAACTCGAAGCTAGTTCTCTGCTTACATATTAACATCTTAAGCGAAATAACTAATAATAAACAAGTGCTGCACATGTAGCCTAGACTGAAAATAAATTGAAGTTGAGGATTTACCCCCCAGAAACGCAAGAAATGCAACCACCCCTCCAAAGAACTCCACGCAACACGCACGCACATGAAACGTGATACACAAAATCCATCGTATAATACTTTGAATTAAGAAAAAGACAACGATTATTAAGATTTCGGTGTGCGTTTTGGATGAACAAGTAAATAGATCAAACAATATTCAAAGCAAAAATTCACAATTGATTAATCAATATCGATCTATCGTATGAAATTAAGTCAATTACTGAAAAAACAACATCCACTTATCGGATATCAATAAGCTACGTAAATTGCTTTTATTCAACAAATAAACAAATAAATTATTTCCAAACGTCTTCATACACTTACAGCCAGTTGCTAGCATTTGCGTAGAAGAGCGCTAGAATTAGCATCAGCAGTGACCGTAACAAATACTCCGATGTCATGTTGAGTAGTAGAAAGCCGAACTCCACAAGCCAACAATCCACAGACGATGTGATTTTATTGCATATGATGTGGTAGTGGTCTCTGTAAAGGGATGATGCACATCAGTTGTGTTATACACAATAAATCCAATATCAGAAATCCAGATGTTTTAATAATCCTTACCTATTCACAGAAAATGCTACAGATGAGCAAAAAAGTTAGTGACACTTCACGGCAGTTTTTTTTCCTTTCTAGCACAACAGCTTGTATTATATTTACCCTCTGATAATCAAATCAGAAATTAACTTCGTCCTTCTCAAAATGATCTTGAATGCAGTAAAACTGTTTCCCCCATTCCTATTCTAGGTTTTGATTATTTGCTTAATATTTTCCTCTGACTGACAGCAGTATGACGCGGCTATAACGCAACATAAAACTGAACGTCGAATTTACTAGCTCCTTATGTACTTATGAGGGGCGGTTCGAAGTATAGGGGAGGTTTTGATGTGTAAGAATGGTGAGAAAGGCGGGTTTAAAGCTCCCCCCTGAGACTGCTTTTATATTTTTAACCAGAATGAAAGCAAGGCTGGAAAGGGTGTACAAGCGAAACTACTGTCTGCGCTGTTTTATTAAAATACAAAGTGGTGGTTCACTGCATTTCATCAATTTGTTCATAACATGTTGTCAGTCGTATATAAAAATTATGTAATACATCGTATGCTAAAAATGACAGCCTTAAAAAACCTACCTAGGCGACAATGGATTTTAAAATATAATCTTCATATGGACTGATTTAAATTTTTGATTATTGCAGATTGTGTATATTTGGTAATTCTTTCACAATCGAGAGAAAGGTGAGAGTGCATTTTATTCTTCATTTCTTTCGGTTACAAGGAGATCACTAATGCATAGTTCATTTTAATTCGCAGTGTTACGAGTACATTATACAAAAGTAACTGGATTGATATTTGAATTTATTTGTCTGCATGTTGTTACCACTTTAAAGCAATACTATATAAACTAAGAATATATGATCACCATGGGCGTAAATCCCGGGGGGGACGGAGGGGGCATGTCCCCCCCTATCCGAGGGTTGTCCCCCCAAAAAAAAATATATATAAAAAAAAAAAGCACTATCTATTGTGAAAAATATATGTATGTATACCTAAAATAATTCTGTAAGTAGAAAAAAAAACAAACGCAAAAAATGCATTTAGAAACAGTTGAGTTCCCCCTCCCCTTCCTCACAGTGGTTTGGCCAACTGCCTGCTTCTACACACACGAGTAAGGCGTGTGGCTGCGGCTCAATTGATGTTGAACTCCAGTAAGTAGGGTATTTTATTCACTTTAAATAAAGCGATTCTCTTTAATGTAGTTGATGCAGACTCATTCATAAATTAGTTGCGGCAAAAATTCTGATTACCGATGTAATTTTCCATGAATCTGCTATATTAGCGATTAAAATATTACTTATCTAGTTAACGTTAGCTTGTTTACAATAGCTTGTTGCATAGTGCACTGCAACTAACACGCCAAAGCCGTTTCCCATGCATTGTTTTATTTGTGACGACTTGGCATAATGTTAACTTAACATTAATGGCCACAATTAGCATATTGTTTAGCTGTGCATTTACTAAATGAGCACTGTGCTACGTCCGAACTGACATCACTGTATTTTTTTGTATAATCAATTTCTATATTATGCATTTAAACAGTCATGTTTAAATTTTATTGTATGTTGATGGCTAGACTGTAAACAACATAACAAACAATGCAATAAATAGTTTTGAAGAAAAATCTGCTTTGTCATTGAACCTGAGAAAAACTTTGAAAATAACCATAATGACGCAGTCTCCATGCTACAATAATAATGATAGAAGCAAAGTTTTTCATTGTGGGGACATATCTTTATAAGTACAATTTGACTGTATTATTTGTGTCCCCTTCAAAAATTGCTCATGAGAAATTTTATATTTATTGTACCCCCCTACTGTTAAATGAAATTTGCGCCCATGATGATCACAAAGGTATTTGATGTGGGTATTGTACATATCGTGTGGTTAAATAGTACTTGAATTTTTTTAAACATAGCCATGTAAGTTAAATTTAAAAATCCATTGAAATGGCTTACAGTAATATTCTTGCTTACTCATTATCAATGCCCCGGTGAAAATCCATTAAATTTCAAGTTATTCATGTATTGTTTCTTACACACATCTTACCTCTAGCAGAGTCTTGCTAGTAGGCCCTACTGTAAGTGAAGTTCTGGCAGCAGTACAGTACATAAGGGAAATCAAAATACAAAAACATTGTGCAGAAATCATGGGCTCATTTAGGAATATCTCATCCACTCAAGAAATGAATGTCTGGTCAACATCCAAAGAGGTGGAGCTTTGGTCCACCACGCTCTGTCTATATAAATACAGTGGTAACTCAGAACTCGAACTTAATCCGTTCAGAACTCCAAATCGAATCCTAAAAAGTTTGAGTTCTGATCTAATTTCCCCATAAGAAATAATGGAAAACCAATTAATTGGTTCCCGGTCCTAAAAAATTACACCTAAATATGTTTTTTTAGCATTTAAACACAAAATGAACCGGATAAAACAAGAAGAGCATATACTGTACTAAACACATCTAAGCACATTTATCAAAACAGCAATTTGTAAAGTAAGAAAATAAATGTATCCATGTTGTCATTAGTACTCTGTATTTAGTCCGCGTTTCAGTTTGTTTCGCCAGTCCAGTCATTGTGTTGTCCGTCTGCGTTTTGCCTGCCTTACCTGTAATTAAACCCCGACGTCTGCGCCTTTGTCTTTGTTCCGTCCCGCTGGGCACGACAATATTACTATAATTAAATGTGTTAACGGTTTATTATTAATATTTAAATAATTAATAAGAAATCTTTTTTTTACTATATAATAATAATTATTGTTACTGTCTATAATTGTCTAAATGTATTTTTACTGTCTGAATATATGTATTCAGCTAGTGTAAACACGTAGGATGCTATCACAGCGAATGCGAGGCTGAGACTGAAGCGTTACCCTTTGTTTCCACTGAGAGACGTGCCACGTGACTCATTTCCCAGCATGTACAAGTTATCTTAGTTCGGCGATCACGGTTTGACTTCTGAGATTCAGATCGAGCTCTAGGTAATTTTTTTCTAACTGGTTGGTTCGACTTTTAAGAAATTTGAGTTCTAATGAGTTCGAGAACTGAGGTACCACTGTACACAGTTACTGGCCACTTAATTAGGTACACATTGCTAATACCAGGTTGGACTCCCTTTTGCCTTCAGCGCTGTCTTAATTCTTAGCAGCATAGATTCAACAAGTTGCTTGAAACATTCCTCAGAGACTTTATTCCAATTTAAAATGATAGCATCATGCTGTTCCTGCAAATATGTCGCCTGCACCTTCATGATGCAAATCTCCCATTCAACCATATCCCATAGGTGTTTTATTGAATTGAGATCTGTGGAGGACATTTGAGTACAGTGAACTTATTGTCATGTTCAAAAAACCAGCCTGAGATTAAATGAGCTCTGTGACATGGCATGTTATCCTGCTGGAAGTAGCCATTGGAAGCTGGGAACACTGTGGTCATAAAGGCAGCAGGATGGATTCATGCTTTTACGTTGTTTCCATCAAATTCTGACCCTTCCATCTGAATGCCACAGCAGAAATTGAGACTCATCTGACCAAGAAACATTTTTCTAGCCTTCCATTGTCCAATTTTGGTGAGCCCCTGTCCATTGTAGCCTCAGATTCCTGTTCTTAGCTGTCAGGAGTAGCAGCTGATGTGGTCTTTTGCTGCAGTAGCCCATCTGCTTTAAGGTTTGACGTGATGTGTGTTCAGAGATGCTCTTCAGTATACCTTGGTTGTACTGCATGGTTATTTGAGTTACTCTTGTTTTTCTATCAGCTTGAACCAGTCTGCCCATTCTTGTCTCACATCCAGCCAACATCAAAATGGAGGAGAAAAGTGATTTAAGTGGCATTTTTTTATTCTAGGTGGGCAGTTTTTCAGAAAGTGGGATTTTCACACGCAACCATCTCTAGGGTTTACAGGGAATGGGCTGAAAAAGAAAAAGTGGTGATGTTCTGGGCAAAAATACCTTGTTGATGGCAGAGGTCAGAGAAGAATGGCCTGACTCCCCTCATAATCCCTGGGACTGCGCCATTGACCTTCTTCCCAGTTCACCTCTTCCCATAGCCAGCCCCAGGATGAGGTGAAAAAGAAGACTGACCCATCTGCAGAGGCCTGGAGAACCTGAACCAGGAACCTAAAGGGGCAAAAACACAAAACCCAAGACAAAAACCCCCAGAGACAGGATGCCAGCAGCACAGCACACCAGCTGTGGAACTGTGGAATGATGGCTATCTGGTATCATGTATCCCCAAAACCGAAACTGGGTAACACTTTATAATACTGTTCCGCAGTTAACAGGTAAATATGCAGGAAGTAAGCAGCAACAAAGGAGTAGTGCTTCATTAACATAAATTAGTACTATTTACTACTAAGGAGTTATGCTTAATTACTCAATAGGTAATAGTGAACTAATTATTATAGTAGTTTGCTATTACTTCATTATGAACTATCAAGTATTGCAGGTCTCATTAGGAATTATGTACTAACTATGGATTATTTCTAATAACTACTAGTTCATTACTTGTCAAATGAACAGTGCTTTTTTGGACTAACAGGAACTTACAAGCTACTGTTCTCAATAGTTTTTGGCTTTTTTTTCCTTTTGGAATAACAGGGTTGTTTCTTCCTACTTGTTTGTATGACATACAACTTATTCTACAAAATATTGCTCTATAAAATATGTATACAGTACTTACGTTTTAATTGTTTACCTCACTTCAGTCCGTGTGCCAGTGTTCTTCAAACTGTGCTTTGAAGTCCAACTGAAGGGATGGTCAATCAGAGACTCATGTTTTGCCACATGATGTACTCTACCACATATTGTTGATCTTTTCTAAACATTAAGAAATTTATGTATGCATTTTAAATAAGGACTGAAGTCTTAATATTAACCTAAATAAAACTAATTGTAACTCATTAGTAATGAATGTGGTGTTACTGACTTCTTCAATAGGAGTCACTAAAGATCAAGAACAGTATTATAAAGTGAAACACACTGTAACTTATTAGTAATGAATGTGGTGTTACTGAGTAAGCTTCTATTTCTTTCACTAAAATTCTTTTTAAGGGGTTAATAAGAACAATGAATGTTAACATAACTTTAGTAAATTAATGTCCATTTTTACTTTTCTTTTTTTTTTCTTCTTTTTTTCCCTTCTTTTTTTTATATTCCCTCCTCCACCCCCCCTCTGCGGGGGACTACTTTATCTGTATCTATTTATTTATTTATTAATTTATTTTATTTTTATTATTATTATTTTTTTTTAATTATTATTTA